TATTGTACTTCTATAGCCTTCTCCAGGCTCTCCTTGTACTATTCTTGTGCACTGTTCCTTATGTTCTCCCTGTACCTATTCCACCTCCTCCTCCTCTTCCTGCTCCTCTTTTTCTTCTCCTCAGAGTCTCCTCCTGTTCTTCTGTAGCTCCTCTCAACGGATGTCTCTTTTCGTGTTTTTTTTTTTTTTTTTTTTTTTTTTTTTTGTCTCTTTTCGTATTCTTTTCTCTGCCTCCTCTACCTTCGTTTCTCCCTACCCACAAGTTTTTTTCCTTCCCAAATAAGGCCAAGCCTGCTGTATTAGCTCGAGTCCCCTTTGTGTTCGTTCTTTTTTTCCCCTCGCTTTTCGTTCGAGTCCCTCCTCGAAACATTTTCTCTCCTTTTGAGGAAATGAGCAGATAAACAATATCCAGCTGCTTCGAAGAGCATCACTACCGTCTTCACTCGAATAGAACGACCGGTTATTATAGCTGCATTTGCCACAACTTTCAGTCCAGATGCGGCGATAATTACCGGGCGTTTTATTCGGGTGAACACGGTGGTCGCCAAGCTCGAGATTGAGTTACGTAGACACGGTCTGCTGTCAACCGCCACACACCAGCCTGTTCTCTCTCTCTCTCTCTCTCTCTCTCTCTCTCTCTCTCTCTCTCTCTCTCTCTCTCTCTCTCTCTTGTGTTGCCTGTTTACTCAGTTAATAGATACGGGGCGCCTTCGGCCTAGTGGTCGAGTTCATTAAGGTCTATATTTGATAGTAGGAGACCAAGGCCGAAGGGCCGCCGCCAACTGCCGCCTCTATTGCCATAACCGCCTCCCTGAGTGTATCCACCTAGAGCGAGTACATTCCGTTCCTATACCAAACGTGCATCCTACCGTCTTCCGTCTTCTCCCGAACACAATGCACCCTGATTATGCCTGTGCTGAGCCGGAAAGATAGCTTGTATACATTCATTATCAGGGTGTGCCAGCACCCTCCCAGTGTGCCTATACCAAACGTCCATCCTGCTTAGCTGTGGCTGAGGGCCTCTACCAAACGTCCAACCTTTATGCTGCACGACCTGATACAGGAGGCTGCCAATGTACTCGCTCTAGGATATCCATGGATTTATATAGCCGCTTTGAAGTGTGAACTCAGTCAGAAAGTCCATGGATTTATTTAGCAGCTTTGAGGTGTGAACTCAGTGAAAAAGTCCGAGAGGATGTGCAAGGGCGTACTCAGTCTAGGATTTCCTGCACTTGTCTGGCTTTCATATGGAGTATCCATATGGAGGAGCTAATTGATGGAGTGCGCATCTTGAATGGAGTGCCCTTTTTGTTTTTTTGAGCCAATCCATGCCACTCATTGGATTGTATTAGTGCATCATCCCTGACTGATGTCTGTATATGTAGCAAGTAACAGAGTTCCTTCTCCTGTGCTCTGTGCTCACCTCTCTGTATTTGTGTGTGTGTGTGTGTGTGTGTGTGTGTGTGTGTGTGTGTGTGTGTGTGTGTGTGTGTGCGCGGGCTTGTGTAAGTGTATATGTGTATCACAGTGTGTGTGTGGAAAAATAAGTGTATGTGTAGGTGTGAGTGAAACTGTGTGGGGGGGGGGTTGCATGTCCATGTACACGTGCGTGCGTGGCACTGGGTGACAAGGAATGCGCGAGACTGTGTTATGCTCTGCCATTGTTGGCACATGGAGGGGTTCTGGCGCTGTGCGACGCATTGTCAGCCAAGCTGTTGGGGCCAGGAGGAGGGTTGGGGAGGGGGGTTGGGGAGGGGGGTTGGGGAGGGGGGTTGGCGAGGGGGCTCCTCTGTGTGACATTCGGTGTGACAACTCGTTGGGACCGCGGTTCTTGGCTGTGTGGCACTCATTGTGACAGGATGTGTTTGAGCATGTTGGATCATGGTGCTTGGCAAACGTGTGCGACCAATGGCATGTGCTCGACGGATGGATGTGCGACCAATTGGATTGGACGTACAGGTGCAGGTGCGTTTGGAAGCCTGGCTGATGGGATTCTTGGGCGTCGGGGCACGCTGATGGCTGCCTCCGCTATGGCAGGAACCTTTGGTGTGCTGTCTGCTTGCTCTCCCTCGTTTCTGATCTATGCCTTCTGTCGAGTGGGGGTGGGCGTTGGGTGTGGGGGAATAGGATCGACCGCCTTCGTGTTGGCGACAGAGCCGGTGGGGGCCTCTCGCAGAGGAGCTGTCGGTATCGCGACCATGTACTTCTACTCCCTTGGGGTCATGCTTCTTGCCTTGCAGGGCTATCTGTTTCCCACGTGGCGCTCTGTGCTGATGTCAGTGAGCATCCCCTCCCTAATCTACCTGCTGCTGTGCTGGCAGTTCCTCGAAGAGTCGCCGCGATGGCTGCTCGTACGTGGCAGGGCTGACCAGGCTATGGTTATCATGAAGAGAATCGCAAGAAGAAACAACAACGTCGTCCCGGACTTTGTGCAGCTGAAGATGGAATCCTGCTCTTTGGAAATCGGACATGCCGTCATACATCCGACAAACAGTGCTCCACGTGGCGATCGCTCCGACACCCGACGCAGACAAGTCCACCATCAGCCTACCCCTCCTCATCGTACCGATGGCCTGGAAGTCATGGGGGCAGAAGAGGAGGATGACAGTACCTGGAGGACAAGCCATGAGCTCCATGCCAGAGACGTCAGCTGCAGTGACAGCAGACAGACTAGCAATGCGAAAGATAACTTAACGGGCACAACTTTTCCTCCTCTTTCTCCTGTTGTTCCACATGTTTCTTCTCCTACATGTTCGCGTAAGGACAAGCAGCCTGTGGGGGCCATGCCTCTTTCTCCTCCTGTTGCTCCTCTTTCTCCTCCTGTTCCTCCTCTTTCTCCTCCTGTTCCACATGTTTCTCCTCCTACACGTCCGCGTAAGGACAAGCATCCTGTGGGGGGCATGGAACAAGGCGAGAGGAGGGAGGACGAAACGCAACATGCCCTCCATCAACTTCAAGAAGAGGCCGGAAAGAGTCCGGAAAGCAGGTGGTCTAAGGATTGGAATGAGCCCGTTAGCCCGAGCGTGCAAGCGGATGGACCAGCTGGGCCACCGAACAATGGCCTGCCTGCATTCCTGGTCCTGGTTCAGCAGCAGGACCAGCGGCACGGACAAGCTGGGCCTGGGCCAACGAGCGTCGGGTCTCCGCAACACCCGTACCATGTCCCGAGCCAGCGGTTCCGCGAACTGGACCAGGAACACAAGGCTGAAGTCCTTGGTCCAACGAGCTGCAACATTCCCCAAGTCCCGGTCCAGGATGTGGACCACCTCCAAGCTGGCACTGCAGGTTCTTGGCAAGGCCAGGGTCAAATAGATGATGGGCTTCTAGCTGCCGCAGGGGGGCATCCTTTTGGCGAGCTTGGTATCATTGAGGAGGGCATTGATGATGAAAGGGACCCGGATCGCACCGGGCCTGACAGTCGGACTGAGCAGGACGATAACGACGCTGATGACTCGTCATCCTCTTCTTCCTCATGGCTGTTGATGGCCCGAGCTGGCGGGACCACCAGTAGAAGCACGGCGAATATTCTTCTGGACAACCTTCTGGGTAAGGCTCAGAACCTGATGAAGAGAGCTAAGGGGAGTACCCAGAAAGGTCTGGGGGGTCTGCAGTGCTTCTTGACCCGGACAGGAAGGAAACTGGGTGACACCGTCAAACGCCATAGGTTTGTCTGGAAAGGCCTCAAAAACAAGGAGGGTGCTCACCAAGCCGGCAGCGGTCGGGGTCAACGAGGCCTTAGGGACATCTTTGCTCATCCTGAGGCAAGGAAGAGGCTGCTATTCGTTGCCTACATCTGGCTTGCATGTTCAATTCTCTATAACGGCCTGATCCTCAACTCCGCTAATCTGGGAAACAACCTTTACCTGCAGACATTCATCAACGGGGTAACGGAGATACCCTCCTTCATCTTGGCAGCCTTCTTCATGGCTCGAATAGGACGCCGTTCCTCACTGATTGCCGGCATTCTACTGGGGTCCGTCTGCTCGTTCGCTTGTGTAGGTGTACCTTCCGTCTTGCGGGCCTCATTTGCAGACCATTCCTCCTCCGTTTCTCCTCCACCCTTGGTCGGCGATGTGGCGGCAGCAGCAGCAGCAGCGGCAAGAGGAGGCGGCAATGTGGTGGCAGCAGCAGTGGCAAGAGGAGGAGGAGGAGGAGGAGGTGGTGATTTGAGCATGATCTCATCGACAGGAACATGTCACTCAATTGGTCAACCAGGGGCAGGATGCGGTAAGACTGGTCAGCAGGGGGATAGACATGCTACCGACCAAGAGAAAGACAAGGTGGAGAGGGTCATCCATGTTCTTCGCATTGTTCTTGTCGCCATTGGATTCATCGGCGTCGCTGGCACGGATAATCTAGCTTACGTATTTACATCTGAGTTGTTCCCAACTGAAGTACGGGGGGTGGCAATGGGTATCACTAGTCAGATTGGACAGATAGGCAGTGCATGTGCACCCTTGATTGCTGTCCTGGGACGTCAACATGAAAGTATCCCCTTCCTCATCTTTGGGTGTGTGGGGGTCCTGGCAGGGCTTCTAGCGCTTCCTCTGCCAGAAACTCTAGGGCAGAGACTGCATGAAACTCTAGATCAAATGCCAACTGACAACAAGGAAAAGAACTTCCTCACACATCCTGATACTACTGACGATTATGGCACCGATGAAGATATCGATAAGCGCATCATCGATAAGGACTAGGATGAAAGTTGCGGCACTCACTAGTACAATGAGAATGGCCATGCTACTAGAAAAAAAGATTACCTTCCTTGTCATATGACATCAGCGATATGGATATGGATGTCCTCATGGATCAGAACAGTCACTGTGATGAAAGTGGTGGAGCTCACCACAATGACAATCATGGGGAAACAAACGTGTCAACTACCGTCTTCACCCGAATACAACACCCGGTCATTATAGCTGTATTGGGGGCAACTTCCAGTCGAGATACAGCGATAATTACCGGGCGTTTTATTCGGGTGAAGACGGTAGTCTCCAAAATTGACGTTCACGATGATGTGGTACAAGCTGATTGTCGTCCACAAGTTATCCCTGATTACTTTCCAGAGTTTCCTTAGGCTCAGAAGCCTCAGATTCACTCTTCATAGATTGCCGAGAACACGTCTGTCGATTGCATTCAACAATCGCTGCGATTACGTTAAATTTTATGTCGTTCATCAAGTGGTCAAAGTACTTAAACCACCAGTTCACGCTAGCCTAAGTCGATGAAGCTACGTAAGCCTACCTTCCATGGCTAGCGAACCTGCAGCTGGGCCATTTGAAGATGGCCTCCCGCGTTTACTACCAGCCTAGGCCCTAGGCCCGACTCGAAAAGCTCTTACTGCGCAAACCGGAAAGAGCTCGTCTTTGCATCGGGTGAACTGGCGATTTAAGGAGCATGATGGGCATCAACAGACTAGGAGTTGTGATCTGATGCCGCCATCATGCCGGTAAAGTTTCTTCTGCTTTCATCCGAGATCAGAACCAGAACTGCAACTGTTACAATCTTTGGGTCACAAGCTTTGGCCAAGTGGCCAAGTGAACGTCCAAGCGACAGAATTGTGCCCGAGGGGCATGCAGGCGCACCCAAGAGTCCTTGGGTCAATGGCATTGGGGTACAGCTTGGAGAATTATATGTTCTGCCAACTCATGGTCTTAGCAGTAATAGGATGTAGCAGACCAAAAGTCAAAAGTCAAAGGCTCAGAGGTTTTTTCCAGAAAGTCAACCACAGCCACAGATCATCCCAAGGCTCAGAAATTGTTTTCAGGCGAATGCAGGGCTCGCTGGGTACAAACAGCGTGAGACTGCAGTTGCATGCCAGCTACACAGGCAAACACATGTCGGCCCTCTGTTGGGACCAAGAGGAGGCAGGTAAGACTGCAATATAAGTTGGGCTCGAGCCATGACACATTGGTTGTCACATAGACGGTGAAGTGCTGCTCTCGGTCACGGTGTGCACAGGCTCTAGAACTGAGCGGAGGGAGAGGGGAATATACTGGCACTCCTCTACGTAGCTAGGATAGGTGAGAGACACTGAGGGTGTTGCTGCACCGTAGATGCGATAGAGAGAGTGAGCAAGGACAAGGGATATGAGGTAGAGGCTAGGCTTGTTCAAGACGAAGCTTATCGGGGGCTTGCCTGCTGGGTTGCAGTTGATGTTGGAGACTCAATGCTGCTTCAAGAAGACCAGCATCATCATTTCTAGCAATGTTGGTTTCAATTCCTCTGGCCTTGGAAAAGGCTAGTGCCAGAGAAATATCAACTTAGCCTTAAGGAGTCACAGCAAGTCTGGTGTGGTGGTGTAGGAGAGAGGAGAGAGGAGAGAGGAGAGAGGAGAGGTCATGTGCAGGTCGCGTAGACAGTTGATCAAGATGTTGATATGCAAGTGAGGAGGAAGAGTTCTTATGGATGGGGTGGGGGAAGAGTATTGAACAACATCATAACAATTGTTTTTTCTCTATACTACTAGATACTTCATGTTCATCATAACTATCACTGTGCTTCGCAATGTCTTGTCATCTGATGTCGTTGTGATCGTTTTTCAGTTTGACCTCGACGAACTCATGTGTGATTACGATGTCAGCTTCTGAAGTGGGGTTTTACTACAAGTTTGTATCGGAGTGTGTTCCTCATCGGATTCCTCCCTACGGCAGGCGGAGTTGGAGGAGGTGCTCACCGTTTTAGAGTTGGTGTGTGCGCCTTGTGGCGTGGAAAGTAAGTGGCAAGAGATGAGTGACTGTCACTGACTGATGCGTGGTGGAGTTGGACGGCTGGTACTTGGAGAGAGAAATCTATTTATAGATGGATCCTGGGCCTACTGGGCCCAAGCAACCTCATAGTGCACATGCGTCGCACAGCTGCATAGACAAACAAACCTCAGCCTTCCATCGGGCGGAAGAGGAGGCAGGCAGGCCGGTCACCACCATATATAGGTTGACCTCCAGTCCAGCTGTGACACATTCCACTTGGGGAAGTTGGTGGATTGAGGCTGGGGACGGCTGTGCGCGCAAGTGGCATAGCGAGCCAGAGGAAGAGGGTTAGAGACCAAGGCTCGTCAATGCGGCTGTGATGGGGCACGTGCTGCGCCTGTGCAGCTGCACCAAACATAGTATTCAGAGAGACAGTGTGAGGGGGAAGGATATGGGGTAAAGCCCAAGGCTTGTGGAAGAACAAGCTCACCATGCGCTTCCCTGCTCGTTTGCAATTGTGGTTGGAGACCCCTTGGTGCTTCGAGAAGACCGGCGTTGTGTTGGGGTTTGTTGCGCTGGGCTGCTGGCCTAAGAATACTAGCACCAGCCTGAGAGGGAGATCACCTTAGCTACCTTCTTCCCCCGAATAATACAACGTACGTAGGGTGATTATAGCTGTTTGGAGCAATTTTCAGTCTAAACACAGCAATAAAGACCATGCATTGTATCCGGGGGAAGAAGGTAATGACAGTCTGGTGTGGCCATGCAGGAGAGAGGAGACTCTCAGGTAGCCAATAAACAGATGTTGGAGAGGTTGACATGCTGAGGTGGCTACCCTCTTCACCCGAATAGAGCGAGCCATACTTCGTTGTAAAAATTCATAGCGTCTTGACTCATAGAGTCCCATGTGGTTTCCCAAAATTCTTTAGGGAAACCATCTATCCCAGGGATCTTCTCCTCCTTCATTTGCATAAGGGCAGTCCATATCTCGTTTTTGGAGAGTGGGGTTTCTAAGGAAAACTGTTGTTCGGGTGTAAGTGTTTTGTTAACTGGGTCCAAGAATTCTTGGATTAAGCGATCGTGGTGTGGCAGGTTTATTTCTGGGCCTAAAAACAATTATTATTTTTTGGAAACTTTTTAATGAGTTATTGATTATGTAAACTACATATCTGTAAATTTTCAGGGCATTTGTCAATGCCAAAAAATAATTAAAAATCGTCAAAGATGGCGGTGTCGAAAAGGTGTTGGCACACTCACTCATTTTAATTCTCTTTTTATTTTTCTTATTTTTATCATAGTGTTTATTTTCTGTATTTGATTTTTAATTCAACTTTGGTAAAGAATTTGGATGTAGTGCCCAGACAAATGTTGTTTAGTTTATTTTTCTTCATAACATTGTTTTTGTTTTTTAATTGTTTGGAAACGTTTTTGTTTTTTTTTGTTTTTTTTTGTCCGCGTTCGGCCCGAACGGCCCAACGCCTTCCGAAGGTGTCCCGTACGTTCGGGCGTTCGGGTTCGGCCGTTCGGCCCGTCCCGAACGCCGGCGACCCCTGATGAGTCGGTGAAACTCCGACGAAACAGTTTGTCACAGCCCCTCGTTTGTTGTCCTTTTCTCTCTCTCTGCCTGCGGTTTACCGGGCAGTTCTGTTTGTGACGATATATATATATTAATTAAAAAACAAACCTGTAGGGAGGTCCCACTAGCAAAGACTATTGGCCTCCTTGAGTGATGTTCACGTTATCCTCATACCCACCTGAATCTGGACGTCTCTGTAAACAGATGCAGTAAATGGTGATTGAGACTGGGTTATGCACCTTTCCATAAACACATTCAGATTCATAAATTTCGTGTGTCGTGCGGCTATGCCCTTTTTCTTGGTGGCGAACCTCACCACCAAGGGTCATGAGACCTCACCACCAAGGCCCCTTTTCTCACTGGCAAGGCCTCACCACCAAGGCTTTTTTTCTCACTGGCGAGACCTCACCACCAAGGCCCCTTTTCTCACTAGCGAGACCTCACCACAAAGGCCCCTTTTCTCGGTGGGAAGCGCTTACCACCTTCCGCTGGTTCAGCTCTCCACCAATAGATTGGGAAATATATATATATATATATACAGGGTTACCTGACTGAACGTTCGGGGGCCCCCGGGCTGGCCCCCGAACGTTCGGGCGTTCCATACAGGGGCCGAACACCTCCAGGTTCGGCCCCTGCCAAAACAAACTTCGGGGCCTAAAAATAAGTTTCTTTTTCTGAATGTTTTTTTGTGAGTTCTCTATGATGTAACCTACACGCCTGTAAATTTTGAAGCCATTCTGCTAAGCCAAAAAAACATTAAAAATTGTCAAAGATGGGGGTGTCAAAAAGTGCTCGCCCACTCACTATTTTGTTTTTTTTTTCACTTTTGACGTTTTGTTTTCACTTTATTTCGGGGCCTAAAAACAATTACTATTTTTTAACATTTTTTAACGAGTTATTGAGTATGTAAAATACATATCTGTAAATTTTCAGGGCATTTGTCAATTTCAAAAAATAATTAAAAATCGGCAAAGATGGTGGTGTCGAAAAGGTGTTGTCACACTCACTCATTTTAATTCTCTTTATATTTTTTCTTATTTTTATCATAGTGTTCATTTTCTGTATTTGATTTTTAATTCAAATTTGGTAAAGAATTTGGATTTAGTGCCCAGGTAAATGTTGTTTATTTGATTTTTCGACATAACAGTTTTTTTTTTGGAATTTTTTGAAAACCTTTTTTTTTTTTTTTTGTCCGCGTTCGGCCTGAACAGCCGAACGCCTTCCGAAGGGGTCCCGTACGTTTGGGCGTTCGGGTTCGGGCGTTCGGCCCGTCCTGAACGCCGGCAACCCTATATATATATATATATATATATATATATCATCACAAACAGAACTGCCCGGTAAACCGTAGGCAGAGAGAGAGAAGAGGAATATATATATTACCGGGCAGTTCTATTTGACGATATATATATAATTTCAAGTTTGGTGAGTGCACTGAGTGGTGTGGCGAGGCCATATGCCCTTTCTGGGGCCAGAAGGCGAAATGGCATTCCAACGTCTGACGAGTGATTGGGCTGGCCGCACCACTCAAGGCCTCGCCACACCATTTTTTTTTTTTTTTTTTTTTTTTTTTTTTTTGGAAAGCTTAGACATTTATTTCATAAAAAATCAGTGGGACGAC